TCAACCTCCACGCACGCATAAGTATAGAGACAACGAGCTGTCCCTTGTTCTAACGAAACGTGGACGGGATGGACGTGGTCAATGTCAACCTTGTCCATATGTCACAAATGAGTCTATTCGATGACAGCGCTGCATAGCTCCGCCAGTAGTCTGGCAGACATTCTGTAGGACAGTAAAATACAATAAAGCTACCTTCCAAATCGTCAACCCCAATAACTAATTCACCTGTCACAAATCAGTGCAGGAAATGTCGAAAGTGCAGGGCGTAAACACGTAGGGAGATGGCAATAGCATTCTACTTTGTACAAAAGTTGACTTTCCTGTCAGGTCTGCAATCAAGGACACCGACCATCCAACCAACCAACCAACCAACAGACCAACCCACCCACCCATCTACACACACACTTCCTCCTGTTTTCCCACCACCTCCTGACCAGATAGATCAGGTGTGATGAGAAATGAGGGGATAAGAGGAATGTGACACACACACATGCACACTCCACACGTAAACATGCATAATTTAGAGCATTTTATCAGGAAAGAACACTACTAGTTTGTAGAACATTAATACCTCCCCCCAAAAAGAATAAAGAGACATGTCAGAGGTCATAGTAAAAATGGCAGTTGTCAGGATGATTTTGAAGAAGGCGAAACAGAATCCTTTTTGACTTAGATTCGCGAGACCCTCTTCAACTCTTCCCTTTCGATGAAACAATGACTGAAGATGGGAAAAGCTATTGGAGCAGGGGAGGGGGAAATCGCGATTCTTAGTTGGAATAAAGAAAAAACTCAACTAAAACGCATTTCTTAGCATCCTCAAGGAAAACTGTCTTTTTAAAGAGAGGGAAAAAAGAAAAAAAATTTCAGCTATCCTCCGAAACCGCCTGTTACAGAGCCCATAGAAATGTACTTTTCGCAGGGGGTGGAGGGGCCTTGCAAGGTCCCAATCACGCAGCAGCAGATGTTTGACAAATGATCACATGTCAAAATAAATGGTCATAAAAGTGTGGCAAATTTTCGGTAGATTTTTAGTCAATTTTTAACTTTTCTACTTGATAGATAGTAGAAACAGATAAATAGAACGCAATCGAAAGCTTTTGTTGCGGATGTCATTTTGGCCTCCTAGAAAAAATGTCTATGTGGTGTTGACAATTTTGACATACCACCATTGACATCGACTGCACCTCATCAATGGCAGGTTGTAGCAATGAGGGCGATAATGGTGATTAATTGGAGTCCAGAAGTCCCCTTGAACGAGAAAGTGCTTTTTCCTCACACCTTCGTGTCTCCACCATTCGATGCGCTATTGCAGAAGTTAGCTCGGTGGGGAAGATCGCGCAGTCTGCATTCCTCTTTTTCATCTAAAAAGGGGAGAGAAAATGAACATCAAAGTGATTTTCCCTAATTCTGACGTGGTGCGACCTCTGATCCGGCTTTGCCCGACTGATCATGCCTTTCATTAATCTTGTACCACTACCAAGTGCCCACAAACTTTGGTAATATCAATTCAACCTTCTAGAGAAATGCGGACGACGACTGGGGGCTTTAAAGATAGTGAACAATCCGGCAATTTGATTAAGATGATGAATAACGGCGTTAAAGACTACTCTCCACATTGATACGTTAATTCAAGCTTAACAAATAACGGAAGGCTTCACAGACTGCCTAGTTATGCATCACTTCTTCCATGCATCCCGAGAGGAAGAGGTTGTTTACTGACCGGCGGTGGTTATTCCCAAGCAAGCACCCAACAGGGCCCACACCCCTTCATCTCCATGTGGTACCACTGGTAAACACATTTATTTGGAGGTTTCAGAAACCCCTCCTTTCCCAATATTTATCTGGAAAAACTATATTGAAGGCATGTAAGGAGTGAACGAAAGTAGCCAGCACGAAATTGGATCCTTCAAACGCTCCACTTCGAGGCCACTTTGTACGAATAGGACTTCCTTCCAATCGACCGATTCTCCACACTTCCCCCCCCCCCCAGATCCTGTGGATGGAAGGATGGATCTCAGGTAAGCAGTGTTGCTTGACCCCCCCCCCCTCTCACAGACATAAAACAAGCCCAGTCTTCTGACCATGAAGTAATGTGCTTGCCTTAAAAATGTGCCATGGGGTAGTGTGCTTGGAGGTGCATGTAGATTCTCTATAGGTACTTACAGCCCAAGGGAGTTTCAATTCCCAACACAAGTAAGCAAACGCTTCGAAATACCTGCAAATAAACAATAGAATGCATTTCTGCTAGTCATTTCATTCAGCCATACTACAGAACACACCTATTTTTTCCTTTTTCTTTGGTGGAAATCTGATACCAACCACCCAGGTGTTAGGCGACTTCTGTTACTTAATAATGGGAGTTAAAATAAGAAGCCCTCACAAAATTAGTGTATAATTATACATTTTTCTTGCAATAGATGCCACTTTTTAGGGGTGAGGGGCAACGGAGGCGGGGAGAGAAAGTACGTTTACTTGTAAAAAACACAAAAGTATGAATGTAATCGGAATGTGTAATGCATGCCTCTTAGTTGTACCCTCTAAATGACTTCCTTGTGACATAGTTCGCCTTGAACAAAAAGAGTGGAGGCACTTCATCGAAATACACAACGTGTAGCAGACACTACTTAAATCAGTAGCTATAGTCGTTTCGCCTGACATTCTGATAGCAATGAACACTTTTCACACCCTACTAATCCCTAAAACGACATACTTTTGGTGTCACAGCATCTCCAGTCTTACAGGAGAGTGCAAAGTGGTACCTACCCTTACTTCAGTAAGAAATTCGGCGTCACCCACACAGTCATTCATGCATCAACAGGATTTCCTAGACTTAAAAACGTACTGTAGATCTTTTTTAGTCGGAAGGGGGACACCTTGCCTTGACATTTCGTCACCAGTAGAATAAATATAAACGATATTGACGCAACAGGACATATATGTCACTTGTTTGTTACTAGTGCACCTTATCTTGTTATATTCCGAGCGGTTAAGGTGGGGACTTAACGTTCGCGGCTTGAGGAGGCCTACGTTAACTTCTCCCAGGACCGCCGTAACAAAAGCGTAACTAAGCTGTTTACCCTACTTACATTCATATTATTTGACGTAAATGAGCGAAAAGAGTATCCAAGCTGACTGGGATAAAGTCAGTGGACCGGATACAAGAATGTAGGTTTTAAAATGTGGTGTAAAAAAAGGACATGTAGAAGTTTACGGATTCCCACTTAGGCTACTGTCAATAGTAGTGGAAAGGAATGCAAAGTGCCCACTGAAGGAGAGCCCTTCCTACCGTCCTTTCACCCTTTGTCCTCCACCCCTTCCTCCCACTTAAAGATAACGTTAGTGTGTACGTGTTTTTTTCACTTTTTTTCGAATAGGTTTTATATCTTAGGTGAATGAGTGCCTCACTGATCTAGTACGCGTTGGTCTAAAAATAAGTCCCCAATGTGAACGATGCGAAGGAGGAGGATGGAGGTGGGGGGGACGCACAGTGGGTAGAAAGAAAATAAATCTTCCCCGGTAAATGCGAAAATAAAACGAATGAAATCTGGAACCACCTCATCCTCCTGGTATTTTGTTTTACTTACCTTTAAAAAACGGGAAAATGAAGGAGGAAATGAGTGAGGAGATCTATCACAAGATTAATAATTTGATGAGGTGGGCTCATTAATTAAAACAACTTGAATAAATGATTACTTCAAAGGGGGAAATATGATGAAAACAGTGAAAGCACTCAAAAGTGTCAATTTCAAGACCTCAATTAAGAACCAATAATGGTCTTAAAAAATCGACCAACCAACTATCGATTAGAAGGTAATCCAGAGCCAATCGGGGATGCGGTGGACAACACCTAGAAAGCCAGTGCCAATAGTCACCGCTACATCATTCACCGATATGGCAAACCATTTCAGGTGGGATAAGTTGTCGGGGCAGCTAGGAGGGAGGCAGCAGTCAATAAACTCATGACTCGCTCGCCCTGTTAATGAACGTTGAGATAGGAAAAGTAAGGGGAAATATTGGATGGAGAGGGAATAATCAACCCTTTTAGCCTACAGGTAACAATATCCGGTCTCGCTACACCAAAAAATACATCTTAAAAGTCTAAAATTAAAAGAAAGAATTTTCTGGTTGTTAAAAGCATTAGCACTCACTTTTGTACAATAACTCGCAGCCTTAGAAAGGAAAAGGCACGAGAGAAAATGCTTCAAAAACAAAAAATGTGGCTTTTAAAAGGTGGAGGCTCTTCTCTGCCTTTTATGAGAAGAGAGTAAGAGGCCACCTGCACCCG